TCTATATATATATATATATATATATATATATATATATATATATATATATATATATATATATATATATATATATATATATATATATATATATATATACGGGCCTACCTTGTTAAGAAGAGATTTCTGGCTAACACGAAGTAAAAGTGCAGTAATTAGTTCCAGAGTCATATAGTTAACAGTTGGCAGTTTCTTGAGAATATTCCTCATTAAATGTATGCTGGAACGAGCATTTCTGATGTCATCGAACAGCTCAAAGGTGGTTAATGGCTCGGGGAGGCTTGCAATGTAACACTTAATAAGAGCTGCAATGTCAACTGAGCTTACACCCTCTGGTACTGATGCATTTGGATCTGGGTACCAAAACAAACAAAGGCACGCCACCATAAATGGAAATGCATCAAATTGTACGAGCCGACTTAATGAATAGTTATCAAGATACCTTGATTATAGAAAGATACTAATTGCCGAATAACCTTTTTGTCGCCCTGTGCCTTGAACAACTCCAGGGAGTTCAGCCCTATTCCGAAAAGGTACGTAAAGCTTGAGTCTCAGCATGAATTAATTAAACCATATGGGAAGTTCATCACTTTCATTTAAGAAAAAAAAGCTACCTGATAATATGAGCGAATCTGCGCATTTCATCAATATAGTTGGAATCGGCGTAGTAGACTGTTGGTGTTGGACGGCAAGCTCGATTGGGATCCCAAACACTAGTGATGAAAGAAAGAAAAGTGACTATATACTAAGAGAAAGTGTATCCCATATCACAAGACTACGAAAACGATTAAATAAATTCTTTCAGAAAATAGAGTTCCAAAAACGTATAATAACGTTTTCGTTTCTAAAGCAAGTAGGAAGATGTGTAGTACAAGAAGAAACAAATGAAGCAACTTCTTATTTGTTTGCCCCAGCGTATACTCTAATAAACATTAATACAAGAAAACAGAATCAAACTGGCTCGTACAGAAACCAGACGAGAATAAGATGATCGAAAGAATGAGAAAACCTACCATCAGTACTTGCGACACCCTACATAAATTGTAAAAAGGAAATAATATTAGCAAGCTGCCACTTGAATAATCAATAACAATAAGATTTTGACAGCCTCAAGCACCTTTTGCCATCGCTCAATGTCAGTCAGGAGATTCTTGCTTTTTTCAGCTGTCATCTTCGCCACCTGTCACAGAGATTTGATCATCAACAACATGCCAAAATAGGAGATGGTTAATCTAATTAGACTGTTTCCCGTAAATACGAATTTCCAAAACATAACCATGCACCATACCGAGGCTTTCTATTTAAAGCATACTTTTAATACTTACCAACAGAGAACCCATGTTTTACAATAATAAAATCAAGAACCAATGACACAGCTATGATCACGTGACAAGTAAATTCAGTACAAATCTTTATATTCCTTGCAAGAATTATCAACATGCACTACCTATCTTATTGAACAGTTACACGTTTAGATAGAATTGAGCACATAGTGACAGTGAATCCAGTAAGTTAGATAACTAAAACCAGCAAAACACAGTAAGAAAAACAAGCCAGACCATCAATTTCATCTTTTAGATAATGCCTGGATGGGATTCCAATATCAGTAGCTCAAGTTTTCGTTACCTCTTCAACTTTTATCTTTCCAACAACGACCTTCTCTTTTGTCTCGGAAAATCCCTTCCTTAAGAACATGCTTGTAGTTGCAGCAGCTGCAATAAAACGTTCCTGCATGGCATGCCTTGTAGATGGCTGCTGGAATATAGCCCACCGGCTTTTGACCACTGACCCGACTTTTTCCGCTGCGTCAGCAACATTTACCTTTGCATCCTTTGCAACTTCCCCAACAAATGTTCCAGCAGAATTTCCAGCTTCTTTAATCTTGAACCCTATTGATTAAAATTCGTATATGACCGACCTCTCCATTCGTATAGACAACTAGACAACGATATGCTAAAAAAGTATATATATAAGGAACACTGGGAAATATAAAGACATATTAGAAATACCTGACGACTGAAAGAAATCACTAGCCTTCTCTTGCCACTGAGGCGACACCGCTGAAGGCATTTGAAGCGTCCTCAACCACCAACTTTCACCGGAAAATTCAGTCTGTTCAATCAGGCACGCAAAATAGTATGAAATATGGATAAGCAATCAAGCATAATTGATTTAGTCGAATTTTATACGAATTATGCTACCCACTTTTGCTTTTATTAATACAACTGGAAATCATCATTCAAAAAGTAAATATTGAAAACCAAATTTTCATTGTTATCTTCTCCTTTTCTCCTGCAAATTCATCGCTGATCGATTTTGATTCAACATTAAATGATCACCAAAAATATTAATAACGTACCGAAAGACTCATAACTGAAGATAAAATATAAATTAGCATTTATAACACCACTCAGGCTTTAATTAATCATCAGGGAATTGCTCGAACGATAACAAACAGCACGAATCAAAACATCAAATCCATAAAGCCATAAAAATATCGAAAATTAAGCATGATACGAAAAGCACAAACCAAAAACGATGCAAAATTCGAAACAATCAAATGAATCTGTATTTAGTTTCCCCCTTTTCACCTAATAAACACGAAAGTTTCAGCGATCGACTTCTCTAAAACCCCGACAGGTACAAAATTAGGGTTTTCTCACCTTTTTAATTCTTCGCTGGCGAATAACTAAGCTTGGAAATCGATGGAACGTGTAATCGTGAGAGGGAAACAGAGAGAGACTCTTTCTGCCGAAAAAAATATGAGACTATTTTGATCCAATGAAAATCTGCCACGTGTTAACTAAAAAAATACACGGTGGCAGGCTAGTATTGACCCGCTTCTGGACGCTCCGAATTATAACGGTCCTCCGCCCTATTTTATTTAAAAATCTTAAAATACATTTATTTTATTATTTAACGGCTACTATTAGGGTTGGGCAAAAATTACCAAATACCGATTACCACGGTATACCTACCATAAATTACCGAATAAATACCGAACTATCGGTTACCACTACATTTGGTACGGTATCGGTACCGTACCATTGCCTTACGGTACGGTAGCGGTATTGTATCTTCAATACCATGGTAATACCGTACCGTACCGCAACTTTATATTTTTAAAATTAGTTAATATATTCAACTTTATACTTTATATTCAACTTTAGATAAAAAAAAAAATATAGTCAACAAATATTATAAAGAAAATAAAAAACAAGAATAACGATATGATACATCATATATATATTATATATACATAATTATAATTTTTTTATTATCTTCATATATTTATGCAAACTCAATATTAGCTCTCGTTAAAGTTGTTTATGTCACGTACTTCTTTAGTTTCAAAGTCCAATTAATTATTTATTGGTGGAATACTTTTTGCCATATTTTCTTCTCCCTTTCTTTCCCCACTGAGTTCCCAGTCTTCTGTTTCATTTGCATTATTGCAAATTTTTTTTTTTATTTCTCTTACTTAAACCATCAAACTTTTTTGCTCATTACAAGTTTCTACAATTTTTCTATAGATATCTTAGTAAGCATTAGTTAATTAAAGCAACATATGCTACTACGGTTGTATAATGTATATTCATGTAGATTGCTTGATCGATCACCATATTCATTTGCTTAATTTGTTGTATTTATGCATTTATTTAGTATTCATCTTAATTATGGTATCATCCGAGTTCATCAAAAAAATGATGTACGGTAGATTACCACGTACCGATCATACCGTACCGAAACTTACGGTATACCGAATAACGGTATACCGCAATTATTGGTACGGTAACGGTATAGAATTTTTCAATACCGAAAGATACGGTAGGTACACGGTATTGAACAAAATGTTCGGTAACCGTACCGAAACCACCCCTAGCTACTATAATATGGGAGACTAAATAGTAATTATTTAAACATGATTAACATATTTAACAGTGGTCAACTAATTTAATTAATCATAATACAAATACTAATTAATCTGATCAGTATTACGAAGAGGTCATCGTCTTCTTCATCTCAATCTTAATCCCCTCGCATTCATTTTCACCACCATTAACGTATCTCTTCCAGAACCAGTGTTTTCTCCAGATAGCATCCATTTTCTCGATCGGAATATCCTTCGTCTCCGGCAGCAGCACATAGACGAAGCCACTCATCACCGCCACCCACGCCGCGAAGAAGAAGAAAATCGCCGCCTTCATACGGCACAGCATCGCCAGAAACGTCTGCGCAACTGCGAAGATGAAGAAAAACCCCACCGCCACGTTTATACTCTGCGCCGCCGACCTAATCTCCAGCGGAAATATCTCACTCGTCACCAGCCACCCCAGCGGGCCCCACGACACACTAAATCCAGCCACGTACACGCAAATCAAAATCAGGACTAACACACTGTAGCCCTCGCTCAACCCGCCGCGATCCCCCAATTTCGCCGCCATTACTCCGCCGATCATCACCTGCGGTACGAACATCAGAACGCCGCCGATGTGGAACAGAGCCCTCCGCCCTAATTTATCCACGATCGCCATCGACAAAACCGTCGTAATCGTGCCAACCACAGCGATGATTACGGAAGACAAAAGCGAATCGCTGACGCCAGATCCGATCGTACGGAACAGAATCGGAGCGTAGAACGCGATCACGTTAATTCCGGTGACTTGCTGGAAGAACGGAATCGCAATCGACATCACAAGCTGCGGCCGGTACTTCCTTTCTAGAATCTTCCGGAAGGGGCGCTCGACCTTTCTAGAAGCTTCGCTCGCCGTTAGTAGATCCGTGAACTCCGCTTCCACGTCATCAGTTCCCCGGATCCTCTTCAGCATAGTTTTAGCTGTTTGTATGTCGTGGCCGTGCTGGATGAGACTGTTTGGTGTTTCCGGAAGGAATATTCCACCGACGGTCAGGATTGAAGCAGGAACCGCCGCCATCGACAGTGAGATCCGCCACCCCCACCCCCCTGCTATCTTCTCCGTGCCGTAGTTGATTAGAAAAGCTGATAAACCTCCGATGCTGACGCATAACTGGAAACCTATGTTGAAAGCTCCTCTGTACTTCGGCGGCGCCATCTCCGACAGGTACAATGGAACTGACTGCATAAATTATTCACATCGCCAAATTAATTAAGAACTAACTAACTAATCAGTATCAAAATTAATTAGCTAGCTTGTTTATAACCTGGTTAGTGAAACCAACGCCAATTCCTAGTAAAATCCTGCCCACAATAAGCATGTAAATGTTTCGCGCTGTGCCGCCAAGGGCGGCACCGCCAATAAACGAAACGCCGCCAATAAGGATGGATGCCCGGCGGCCCAATGCACGAGTGACCGGCGAAGCGAAGAAGGAGGCTATTAGTCCGGCAATGTAGAGTGAGGAGGTAAAAGTTGTGAGCAATTGGCTGTCGAATTTGCAGTAGTTGCTTATATCCGAATCTCGTTTCATCTTTCTGTAAACACCTGGGAAGAATTCCTTCAAGAATGGCTCCATTGATGTCACTCCACCTTCAAAATATCATTATTAATTATACGAATTATCGAAAAAAAAATTAAAATTTTAATTTTGATTTTGATTTTACCTGTAACACCAGTATCATAGCCAAAGATTAGTCCTCCAGTAGCAGCAACTATAGAAGACAGCAAAACAAGCCATGTAATCTTGCCATTATACTGCACACCTTCTTCAGTTTTACTAATTGCTATACCAACAGCCATTGGTTTATGATTTTTATTTTATTATTATTTGTTTTTTGGCAGCCCTGGAAACAATTTGTGGAGCTTACATATAGTTCTCTGCTTCATCAGCGTTGAAAGCTTATCAAATTAATTATGTGGTGACTGTTCATTTTTTTTTGTCTGTCTGTTTTTGGACTTCAGCTCTGATGATTGAGGCCTTGGAGGCACATGCAATTCACATGGGATAATCTCCGGGGGCAAAACAGGGATTTCCTACTACAAATCGAAAACAAGGTAATATGTTTTACATGTTATTATTGTTTGATGATGATTGTAGCTGTACTAAATCTTGGATGATTCATCTACAATAAGATACCCTTTCCCTTTTTCTTTCAAAGTTTCAATTAATCTTCGTCGATTTAAAATTTAAAATTTTAAAAGTCGTTTGGCGATTCAATGTCGTTTCGGCCTCAAACAATGCATCTTTTTCTGTTTTAATTCGTCCAGAATTTCTCATGAGTTTGGATATTTTTAAGTGTTGAGACGATTCACATCCGTTCGAAATATTTTTCATTTTTTTTTTGAATATTTAGACTTCATAAATTTTGTTGCTGCATCGACGTTGTAAACTGAATGCCTTATAAATCGTTTTTGTTCTAGACTTTTTTTGTTTAACAGAACGAATTTTAAGATGTTGATCCATTGTTGCTAATTTTGTGTTTTATTTAATTTTGTTTCGTAACGTGTTTTCGAATTTATCCACATTTTCGTCAATACATTTTACATCAAGAAACAATGTACTATCTCATATCACTAAATTTCATCCATCTTGATCATCACTTTCTTATTATCACCACCCACAAATCTCTTCCAAAACCAATGCTCTCTCCAAATCCCATCCATTTGCTCAATAGGTATATTCTTCGTCTCCGGCAATAAAAAGTAGACAAACACGGTCATCACCGCCGCCCACCCGCCAAAGAAGAAGAAAAGCCCCGCCTTGAAATGGCACAGCATCGACAAAAACGTCTGTCCGACCACGAAAGTGAACAAAAAATTCACCGCCACGGTAACACTCTGTCCGGCCGATCGAATCTCCATCGGAAAAATCTCGCTCGGAATCAACCACCCAAGCGGGCCCCACGAAACCCCAAATCCCGCAATATACAAGCTAATCAACGCCAGCACAGCATAAGAATACTCTTTGCTCAATCCACCTTGATCACCTAATTTAACCGCCATTATTCCTCCAACGAGAATTTGAGGGAAAAACATTAATACCCCACCGAGGAGCAAAAGAAACCTTCTCCCGACTCTATCCACAACCACCATTGCTATAAATGTTGTACTGGACCCCACAACTCCCGTTATCACAGAAGACAAGAGCGACGCGCTCTCGCCCAATCCGATTGTTCGAAAAAGAATCGGAGCGTAGAATCCCACCACATTGATTCCCGTCATTATCTGGAAAAACGGGATCGCGACAGACATTACAAGTTGAGGCCTGTAATTTCGTCTCAGGATGTTCTTGTAAGGATTCTTGATTTTTTTCGAGGCATCGCTTGCTTCGATGAGATCTTCTAGTTCGGACTGAACATCGTTTGTGCCTCTGATTTTTTGCAGCATCCTTCGAGCCGTTTCGTGGTCGTTGCTTCGTTGGATGAAGCTGTTTGGTGTTTCTGGGAGAAATATTGCACCTAGGGTCAGAGCTGAAGCTGGAACTGCAGCCATGGCTAACGAAACTCGCCACCCCCAACCTCCGGTAATCTTTTCCGTACCGTAGTTAACTATATTTGCCGCGAAGAAACCGATGCCCAAGCTGAATTGAAAGCCGTTGCTAATTGCTCCTCTGTGTTTCGGTAAAGCCAATTCCGAAAGATACAACGGCACCGCCTGTAGCAATTAATCAATTAAACTCTAAAACATTTGAAGCTGAAATTGAAATATTAATCAGCTGATTAATTACCTGGTTAGTGAAACCGACGCCGATCCCGAGGAAGATTCTGCCGAGGATGAGCATGTAGATGTTGAAGGCGGCGCCGTTGAGGGCTGCTCCGGCGAGAAAGGCGGATCCACCGGCAAGCATGGAAGGTTTTCGACCAAATGCGTCGGTGATCCAGGAAGCAAAGAAGGAAGTAACGAGACCGGCGAGGTAGAGAGATGATGTGAATAAAGTCAACAGTTGACTGTCGAATTTGCAGTAGTTGCTAATCCTTGTGTCCTGTTTCATTCTGCTTTGAACTCCGGGGAAGAATTTTTCCAGGAACGCCTCCATCGACGTCACTCCGCCTAGTTTAAAAGACGGTAAATTAATTCTCTGCTCCGATTGTAGATTTTTTTTTAGAGAGAGAAGTTAGTTAGTGTGAGAAAATTAATTAATTACCTGAAACTCCGATGTCGTAGCCGAAGATGAAACCTCCCATGGCGGCAACCAGGCATGATAAGAGCAGAAAAAATGTGATTCCTCCGTTGTACTGCTTGTAATCTCCGGCGGCGATTCCGAAACCCGCCGCCATAGTTTCAATTTCTTCTCAGATTGGCTGTCACTCCATTCTGCAATAAATATGAATATTCCGTTTTCCGAAATCCTACCTACCTACCTATCTCCAGCCATTCTTCGTTGTAATTTATATCCATGATATTATATTAATAAAAGCACGTGAGATGCATGTGAGGTACAGAAAATCGATGCATAGACAAAAAAAAAATAGGATGAGACAAGTCAAACTGATTGACTGCAACAGATCAAGATTGAACACATAGCAGAATCCCAGTGATCATCTTCTACTTTTCCTGTGTTTCTACCCACACGTTTGCCTTTTGTCCGTTTGGAGAGCTGTACTGATTTTCTTGATGATTGACAGATAATATAATACTCCTAATTAAATGATTGGCTATTCATTGATAAATAATTGAATTTATTTTCTGAACAAATATAAATAATCAAAAATAATAATTGAGGAGAACATGAAATTGCTGGAATATACAAACAAGTACCAATTTTCCACTTTTGATTTTCATAAAATTATATTATACATATACATAAATTTGTGTTGTGAATTGTGCATCGAAATTTCGGATAAATCACCAATTAACAGCCAGTTTATTCGGTTATTAATTCGGGTCTCGAATTTAAGTCCATAACATATTTAGACTTTACAAATGGAACGATCCTTAAATAAGTAAAGTTCTTGTTTTATGGATTATCTAACCGGGTACAAATATTTTTATGCAGACTCGAAAATTTTGCGATTTATAATATATATGGATAAAATTACAATTTTCTTGTCTCGTATTTATTTATTTTTGCAGACTCGATAATTTTGCGGTTTACAATATACATGGACGTGCATGAATGGCAAAATGAGTTTTTTAGTCCTGTAAGTTTACTAGTTGAGAGTTTTAGTCCATCATGTTTCAAAATCAGGATTTTAGTCCTGTAAATTACAAAAGTTGGGAATTTTGGTCATATGACCTGCTATAACATGAAATGTGATGGTTGGTTGAATGAGTTGACATTTAAAGTATAAAAATGAATAGATTCAAAATAAATTAGGTGATGTGGCTAATGAGTTGGACGATTTTGGAGGAAAATAAAATATACCATCAATTTTTTTTTTTTTGATGAATGAAATAAGCATTTTTTTAATAACTATTTTTTAATTAATATTTCATAGTTTTCAACTGATAAAAATAGTAATTAACTATATTTTATTACTCGTTATTGGTATTTGTTTCTCTTGGTTTGATAACGTATTTTATGTTTGGAGGGTCTAGAATACCTTTTTGGTACATTTAATTTTTTTTTTGAGTAATTTTGGTACATTTAATTTAATACAGTTTGGAATATATTTTATTATTAGTTTTGGTTAATTCGTAAACGTGTATTTGATTTTTTATACTAATTATGATTGTGCATGTCATTTAACTTTACAAAAAGTTTTCATAAAAGTTTTTTTTTTTTGATATTTTTGTTGAATTTGATTGTTCGTTCAATTTCATTATAATCACTAAGTATAGATTTGTAAAATAAAATAAAATATTTAGATAAATATGAATTTAATTACTACTTTTATCAAATAAAAACTAAGAAATATTAATTAAACATTAGTTAATCTTATTTTCTACGTAAAAAATATAATCGTAGATTTTATTCAATGGTTTATTGTGATTCTTTATTGCAAATATAACAAAGAAATAAATATATAAATTAATATATTAAATTTTCCTCATTATTTTGGTGAATTTGATATTGAGATCAAATTTCTCTCCAAAATCATCCAACTCATTAGGCATATCACCTAATTTATTTATTTTTATATTTTAAATGCCAACTCATTCAACCAACCATCACATTACCTATTATAGCAGGTCATAGGCCTGCATAAATTATGCATGAGTTTGCATAATAAGATACAACAAATTACAAAATTGACACCTAATTATCATTTTTATTTTTATTTTGATAATTAATTATCATTTTTATTTACCCACCACAAATTTCTTCCAAAACCAGTGTTCTCTCCAAACCATCTCCATTTGTTCAATCGGAATATTCTTCGTCTCCGGCAGTAACAGATACACGAACACCGTCATAACCGCCACCCACCCCCCAAAGAAGAAGAATATCCCACTCTTCAAACGGCACAGCATCGTCAAAAACGTCTGCCCTACCAAAAAAGTAAACAGAAAATTCACGGCGACTGAAATACTCTGCCCCGCCGACCTAATCTCCATCGGAAAAATCTCGCTCGGAATCAACCACCCCAATGGCCCCCACGAAACCCCAAATCCGGCGACGTATACCCCAATCAAAACCAGAACCAAATCGGCGTAGCCTCTGCTCAATCCACCGCCGCGGTCGTCTAATTCAGCCGCCATTACAGATCCGACAATCATCTGAGATGCAAACATCACAATTCCCCCAATTATCAGCAGAAACCTCCTCCCGAATCTGTCCACAATCACCATCGACGCGAACGTGGTAGCAATTCCGACGACGCCGGTCATAACCGCCGATAAAAGCGAAGCGCTTTCCCCAAATCCAATCGTGCGGAATAAAATCGGAGCGTAGAAGGCGATTACATTGATTCCGGTGACCTGCTGAAAAAAGGGGATCGCAATCGACATCACAAACTGCGGCCTGTAATTTCTCCCTGCGATTTTTCCGTAAGGATTTTTTGCAATTTTCGAATTTTCGCTGGCTTTGATGAGATCGTCTAGTTCCATTTCCACATTTTCAGTTCCTCGGATTTTTTGCAGCATTTTTTTCGCCTTTTCGTGGTTGTTGTTGAGCTGGATTAAGCTGTTTGGTGTTTCTGGAAGAAACAGTGCGCCTAGGGTTAGAGCTGAAGCTGGAACTGCAGCCATGGCTAATGAAATCCTCCACCCGAATCCACCGTCGATCTTCTCCGTTCCGTAATTGATCAGATTTGCAGATAAGGCACCTATTCCTACACTCAATTGGAATCCGTTATTGAATGCTCCTCTGTATTTCGCCGGCGCCATTTCTGATAGATACAAAGGAAATGCCTGAAAACCAGACACATCATCACAGATCAAATGTGTGAAATTTATTGGAGATACAAGAAATTTTGTATGTATATAATGTGTATATATGTGGGGACCTGGTTTGCGAAGCCAACACCAACTCCGAGGAGGACTCTGCCTAAGATGAGCATGTATATACTAACGGCTGCGCCGTTGAGGGCTGCTCCGGCGAGAAAAGCAGCTCCTCCGGCGACTATGGATGGTTTCCGGCCGTAAGCTCCGGTGACGAAAGATGCGAAGAAGGAAGCGACCAGGCCTGCTAAATAGAGTGAGGATGTGAATAATGTCAATAATTCACTGTCGAATTTGCAGTAGTTGCTAATATTCTTGTCATCTTTCATTCTTGTGTAGACTTGCGGGAAGAACTTCTTCAAGAATGGCTCCATCGACGTCACTCCACCTTCAAGAATTATAAACTAATTATCCCGTATCGATTATTGGACAAAAAGAAATATTGTCAGAAAATAGTACGTAAGAACCTGAAATCCCGATATCGTAGCCGAAAATAACTCCTCCCATGGCGGCCATCATGCACGATAAAACGACAAACGGAGTTACTCTTCCGTTGTACAACACTCCTTCATTTGCAGGTACGAATCCCATAGCCATAGCTTTTACTCTCAGAGGAAAAATGGAATTCGAAGTTTTTATCTGCGAGTGAAGTATTTTTCTTGGACTAATTAGTCTAACACGACTGCAAGAAAATCAATATCTTATGGTCCACTCGATTCGAGGAGTCTTTGGTTCATATGTTTTGTCTTGTGTTTTTTTCATTGCTAAGACATGTCACATTCTCTTGTGTGTTTGAAAGTTTGTTAATTGGGACCATGTTTATGCATCAATGTAATTAAGGACACAATAGGGCAGTGTCGAGTCCACCCTCGGACAATGGTGGGATCGAGCCCCCCTCAATTGCGAAAAAATCCTTCATATTTTTTATTTATATATTTATTAATTCCGCTCAAATTTTATTATTTAACCCACCCAAATCCGAAATTAATGCCAAAAAGTCCTATAAATTTTTTTCTTCTTTTCCTATTTTATAGTTTTGTCAAAAAAAAGTTCGTAAAATTTATAGGGAGATCAATTTTGGGCTTCTATAGGACTATGCTTTAAAATCTCTTGTTATGTCTTTAACTCTTCTTTGGGCCCAATTAAATTTGGGCTTAGTAGAATTAAAATAGGGCCCATCAAATAAAAAATAAAAATAAAAATTGGATAGGGAATTAAAATTGGACTCTGTTTACTTGGTTCGAATATAAGCTTAAACTCGCTAGAATCTGGTCTATGTACATCAGTTCTAATTACTTCTTACTTGTTGCTACGATTTATTATTTTAATCAATTATTTGTTTATTAATTAATTAGAGTAATTTAATTAAAATATGATTCTAGTAATTTGAGTTAGAGCGAGTTAGGGAGTTTGAATTAGAATAGGTTTGGGTCATATTTAGGAGTTCTGTATATAAAAGGGCCGTGCCTTTTGCTACACCTAGGGAATAATTTATCTTGCAACTTTTGTTTAGGTCAAAGAAAATTGTATTACTTGTCACCGGAAGAATTTCTGATCCGATATGGCAAGTAAGAAACAAAGACAAGAATTTCTCGTTCAAAAGACAGATGAAGAAAATATGCGGCCAGTCAAACGCATCGAACCTCGTTTTCAGGCTGATTTGCCACAATTCATTGGGCCCGCTCGTTCAAAAGACGATGAGGAGAGTATCCGGTCAAGCAAACGCATCGGACCTCGTTTTCAGGCTGATTTGCCACTATGCATCGGGCCCGCTCGTTCGAAAGACGATGAGGAGAATATCCCGTCAGTCAAACGCATCCGACCTCGTTTTCAGGCTGATTTGCCCCTATGCATCGGGCCCGCTCGTTCAAAAGACGATGAGGAGGATATCCGGCCAGTCAAACGCATCGGATCTCGTTTTCAGGATGATCTGCCACGATTCATCGATGAGGTGAATATCCGGTCAGTCAAACGCATCGGACCTCGTTTTCAGGCTAAGTTGCCACAATTCATGGGACTCGCTCGTTACAAATCAGACAAGAGTAACTTGAAGTGGCTAGGAACAAAAATTTGGCCCGTCGAAAGCAATCAGAAAAATGACGATTATGCCCTTCGGACAACTATGGATCTGCTCTATGATTGTGCATGCCAAGACCCGACAACAAAAAGCTCGTCGACGAGAAAAAGACAAAGAGACGAAGAATGAACTCGATCAGTTCTGTTGTTTTCATGATGGGAAGAAGTTCGATGAAGTGGGATAAGAAGCTTCTAGAGAGTTTGTGTTTTTCTTTTATTTTTATGTTTTCAAATTCCTGAAATAGTGTTTGTTAATCGTATGAGAAAGTTACGTACATCTTTTTTTTTTTTTTTTAATCTTATTTAGTTCGATGTTATGGTCTCTAATTAACCCTAATAGTTGTGCCCTAATTTGATTGCATGGAACCCACGTGATGATCACGTGATCGTTACATTCACCCTGAAATTCCCACTTTCGGTCAATGTAGTAATTGGTCAAAATCCGAAAGCCCCAAATTGAAAACCCTAATCCCAAAATCAGAAAAGCTGGAGTTAGTAATTGGTCCAAATCAAGATATATTTCTTTTTCTGTAGTATCAAAACCAAATTTATTTTCTGTACAATTTTCCACTCTAAAAAATATAATTTAATTATACCTATTAAAATACCGACAAATAAATAAATAATAAGACTTGACTAATAGTGAAAAGGCAAGATTCGGCCGGTGGGATTTCTATGTCACAAGGATTTATTATTTGTGTGAAGAGTGATTTTAGTTGATTAAAGACAAAATTTCCCATCAATATATTAAATGCAATTCAAATAAAAATCACCCAAATAAACCAAATGCAGAACCATATAATAATGCAAAAATATATCACCACGCCCGCTTTATTTTATTTTTTTATTATAATCCAATATTGATTTTTGGCCCTATAATAAATAATAAATAATTAAAAATCGATTTAATTTCAACGACCAATAACCACCATCAACGGCAGGTTTTTTGGGAAAATTTTAATTCAATTAGAGGCAGAAAGCTTTGGAAGATCATTAAGGGCCCTATTTCTGCCGACAAAGTACGTATTTCCAAAAATTAAATGCTTTACTAACTAATATAAACTAATTAATGACGCTGCTAAATTCCAAAAAAAATCAAGTTTTGAAAGAACAAAGATTTTTTAGCCCCTTGATTTCAGTGCCATTTTTTTTTAATTCAGGTAATTCTAATTTCGACATACTAACTTCTGATCCTCAAGACCCGTATTAATTGAATCTAAAAAAATGAATCATCCCGTAAGAGATGATCTAACGGATGGAGCAAAACAGTTTGTGTCAAATGACAGTCGATAGATCGAGCTCGCTACACATTGTTAGCCGACGATCGATATATTGAGCCTGTCACACACGATTTGTCTAATATAAATAAAGTAAGGATTAACAATGTGGAAAATAATTAAAATAAATTTTTTTTCTCTAATAAAGTTTAATTGGAGATTAAATTAAGCTACAAACTTTGAAAGCAACGGTTTCTAATATTCGCAGCTATAAATACAGACAAGAGTCACAACTATTTTGAGCAGCAAAGCAAAAATCTATACATAGAAATATATATCTAAATTGAATAAAAAAAAAATGGCAACAATTAGTGTAAGTCAAATATTGACCACTTCACTAATTGTCTTGTGTTTTTTCTTGTTCAATAACAAATTATGCATTGCCTTAAAATCACACAAACACTCCAATCACTCTTCCACCAGATCTTCTCGCTGGTATACCGCCGGAGCAACTTGGTACGGCGCCCCCGATGGTGCCGGAAGTGTCGGTACGTAATTCTTTGTATTTTTTTTTTTTTTTTTTTAAATAATAAACATTAAAATGGAATGAATTGCATGCAGGAGGAGCATGTGGTTATGGAAACATAGTGGAAGAAGCTCCATTTTCTTCACTTGTTACTGGGATTGGTCCATCACTCTATAAATCTGGCAAAGAATGTGGAGCTTGCTACCAGGTACTAATTTTATTTTATTTTATTTTTAATTTTAAATATTATATAATATAATAATATATAAGCTTGTTTTATTAGATTTGAATTTGTTTGGGGCGCATGCAGGTAAAATGTACGAAGCACCCATCGTGCTCGAAAAAGGCGGTGCGCGTGGTTATCACGGACTTCTGCCCCGGAGGAGTGTGCCTGTCGGACGTAGCGCATTTTGACCTAAGTGGAACTGCATTTGGTGCCATGGCCAAACCCGGCCAAGACAACAATCTTCGTGACGCTGGAGTTTTGCAAATTCGATTTGCTCGGTTAGTTTTATTAATTATTATATATCACACACACACCTAATAAAAAAAACCTAATTAATTGACCTAATCTTTAAAAAAATCAATTACATGACGTTATTCAAGAAACCTATATGAATAAATAAATAAAATTTGGATATTATTTTTTGGAGTGTTGCATGCACCGTCTACTTTTGTTTATACATGGAGCTTATTGCATTCGGCACCTTTGTATTTTTTTTTAATTATTAAAAGATCCCATGTATTATTACATTGACGTACAAAAATGCCCTTATGCAACGTTTTTGAAAATATATATTTTTTGTCAATAGTATAAGATATGGAGTTTTTTCGCAATTCAATATAACATAAGGTATAAAATTCAATAAACTCTTGTTTATATATTGAAGATAATTATTTATGTATTATAATTTTGTCTAATATGTAGTGTTCCATGTGACTATTCGGGGGAAAAAGTTGCGTTCCAAATTGATATGGGGTCGAACCCTAATTACATCGCTATGGTGATCGAGTACGAAGGAGGTGACGGTGACCTAATCCGTGTCGATCTCCAAGAATCCGGGTCGGGTCAAACCGCAGGCGACTGGTGGGCAATGAACCAGTCTTGGGGAGCGGTTTGGCAGTTGAATCCGGGCAAGGAACTGCACCCTCCGTTTTCGATCCGGTTGACTTCTCGGTATTCGGGTCGGGTCCTAATTGCCAAAGATGTGATTCCCACCGGTTGGCAACCGGGTGCCACCTATAGGTCCGTGGTCAACTTCGTTTGACTATAAGTATCAAAGTGTCTATTATTTATAAATTAAATATTGAGAGTTTGTTTTGATTAATGTTTTTATAAATTAGTTTTTGTTTTTCAATTAGTATAGGTTATTAAAGTGTGTAGCTTCCAATGCAATTTTAATTTCAAGATTGCATGAGGGATGCGTTTTAAGATGTGTGGGAGTGTGTGTGTGTGTGTGTGTGTGTGAGAGAGAGAGAGAGAGAGAGAGGAGAGAGAAATATTCAACATGAATATATAATCCTCAATTATATTTTTATGTATTTTTATGAATAAATGGATTTTGTAATGATATGGAGTTTGTAAGCCGATGGTTTTATTGAAATATATTATTATCACGTAAATTATCAAATATTATTACATGTTATAAACAAAAATAAATAAATATTATTAAATGAAATATTGATTTAACAATATTAACGGGCCGAATCCAACAAGGCCCGATCTTAATTTGGGCCTACATGCAACAACATATAATTATTTTGGCCCACCAACAGTAAAAAGAAAATGGCGATGTTGACGAATTTTAGTTGTAATAATCGCCGCCGTGTGCCGAATTCCTCCGCCACCCAATCAAATCCAAAGCAGGCCTCTCTATGCATATGGAGTCGAGCATAAAGCAGCAGTGTACAATGAAAAATGCGTATCTCTTCATCCGAGTGAAAGATGGTCAAAGCTATAAGGATCCATGAACTCGGTGGCCCTGAGGTAAATTAACGTTTATTTGATTTCCTTTGCTCAATTATTAATCTCAATTTGTGAAATATGCTTCGGAAATTGCGCGAAATCGTAGATTGATGAAGATCAAATGTTTCTGTCTGATCCAGAGCATTTTATTTATTTATTTATTTTGGTAAAAATTGGGGAAGTTTCCCAATCCGGAGAGAGGATCCAATTCTACATTTGGCTTGACAGAGTTAATTATGCTTCAAACTTACTGCATTAGTGTATTGCTTATGTAATTCTCGATGCATTTCGATTTTAGGTCATGAAATGGGAGGATGTGGAAATAGGGGAGCCAAAGGATGGAGAGATCAAAGTTAAAAATAAGGCCATCGGATTGAATTTCGTCGATATTTATTTCCGAAAAGGGGTTTACAAGAATCCAACAATACCCTACACACCAGGTCCTATTCCTCTTTCCGTATTATTGTTCGACATTCGTAAATTTAAGATCGTGGCCTAAAAACACTTCTTCTTGTCTCGATGACAGGTGTCGAGGCTGTAGGTGTGGTCACTGCCGTGGGTCCCGGACTTACTGGAATTAAAGTCGGAGACCTCGTTGCTCATGCTGGTACACCAACGGGTGCATATGCAGAAGAGCAAATTGTTCCTGCCGAAAAACTTGTGCCTGTGCCTTCTTCTATTGACCCCGTTATCGCAGCTTGTGTCATGGTCAAGGGGAGAACTGCTCAGTATCTCGTTCGCAAATGTTTCAAAGTAGGTTTATTATTACCGTATCCTAAGTTTTACGGTGATCTTGCAGCAGAGAAGGGATTTAAGAAATTTCACATTTCATAATTATTCAGTGGCTCGTTATCAAGATCGTAATTTCCATATGCATGCTCATTCTTCAATTGTTTGCTCCTTCCAAGGCTAATTATAATCAATTTTTTTCTGAGTTATTACACGATTTCGTCATATATTGATCCGCGTACCGCCTTTTCTATTCATTCTTTACTTCTCCTTTTTCCCGTTTCATCAAAAAGATTTCTGTTGGACAACAAATATTAGATGCATGCTTGTCTTGCATGTTCTAATATCTAAACGGCATTGTTCATACAGGTAGAACAAGGGCACACTGTCCTTATTCATGCAGCAGCAGGTGGGGTCGGTTCTCTATTATGCCAATGGGCTAATTTCCTCGGTGCCACAGTTATAGGAACTGTCTCAACAAAAGACAAGGCAGCTCAAGCCAAAGCCGATGGTTGTCACCATGTCATACTGTACAAGGAAGAAGACTTCATTGCACGTGTAGACGAAATAACATCTGGTAAAGGAGTCGAAGTTGTCTACGATTCTGTCGGAAAGGACACTTTTGAGGTAATAAATCTTTTTGCTCCTGTCGTTTTTTTTTTCGTGTCTGTCTTTTGTTAACCGAAGATCGGATATTCTATGATTAGGGATCATTGGCTTGTTTGAAAGTACGAGGATGTATGGTGACTTTCGGAGAGTCGTCTGGTGCGCCTGATCCAGTTCCTCTGTCAGCTCTTGCTGCGAAATCGCTGTTCTTGACTAGGCCTTCTTTGAGGGGTTACACTTGTACTAGAGATGAACTCTTGCAAACTGCGTCCGAGGTTTTTGACAATGTTGTTTCTGGTGTAATAAGGTTCCGTGTGAATCGTACTTACCCGTTATCTCAGGCAGCACAAGCGCATGCAGATCTTGAGAATAGAAGAACCGTGGGGTCCGTTGTGCTCGTACCCGACAGTTGTTAGATCGGGTAAAAGTAATGTTAATTATTCGATGAGCCGGGAGAAAAAGACGATGCTCGATTTAAGGATCGATGATATGCCTCATGGAGCTAGTGAAAACAAGGAGTAATTAAATTGTTGTTCACTTATATGTTAAATTGTTTTGTTTCTATCGAATTGGTGTAAATGAATTGAGTTAAGTCAAATGTATGGTTGTTGAACTTATTTGAATTTTCATCGAGTTTTAAGGTTTTGTTTAAGCTTGATTTAATTGTCGAACATGAATCGAGATCGAGTCGAACCTCATACCTTATCAGATAAAAATGTGTTCAAATTCGTTCGAAATAAAAATTAGAATTCAAAACAACTATTACTTATTAAATTTATGATAAATTACGGCCGCACTCCGACTTAAGGTCAAATTATGAAAAAAAACTCTCATATTTGGGTAATTACGACAACCCCTCAACTATGAATCTTTTTACACGTCCACCATTATGGTGTCAAATTCAACATAAACTTTTACGTTATGTGGAATGCTCTATAGTTTGTACTCGTTTTGTGCAAAAATGTCTGATGCACTACAATCTGATATTTATAAGACAAGAGACACATTTTATGATCATCTTATTTAAAATGTAGAGTTCGAATGTGGTAAAAATGGGTACAAACTGAAGAATATTTCACATAATCTAGAAGATTCTACTAAATTTGACACCGCAATGGTGGACGTGCAATAAAATTCATAGTTGAGAGGTGGTTGTAATTACCCAAATAAGTGGTTTTTCGTAATTTGAACTTATTTCAGGGGGTTAACCGTAATTTACACTTAACTTTAATTTCCATTAATAAGCTGAATTTTTGGTAATTTTCTCAAATTTTCAAAATTATTAAAAATTAAAAAATACGTTCACGCGTGCGGAATCAAAGAGCCGAAGGCGTAATCAGTGACATCATCAATCTCTCCCCCATTTAACAGTGACTCACTGAGTTTATATAGCAAAATCAATGTCCATTTCACCCAAATTCACGAAAATTCACCATCGCCAAATTCTCCATTCGTTGGGATCTTCTTCACTCAATCAGCTTCAAAGGGCTCTTCCCGAAATTACCCCTCGCGCGATTCGTGTTCCAAGCAGAGGATCATCGATAAGGCCCATCTCTTCATCCGCTGTAGCTGCATCAAACATGGTTAAAGCTATACGCGTCCACGAACTCGGCGGCCCCGAGGTACTCTCTCTCTCTCTCTCTCTCTCTTTGATTAGTTAAAGTAATTTCACAATAGCAAGTGGCTTTCTGTCATCTCTGAAGGAAATTTAAGTTATTTCACATTCTTCGTTTGGTTTGTTGTTGGTGATTCTATCCTATTCGGAGCTTTGCTTTACCGTTAATGGCCGCCTGACTCTTCGATTTGCTTGTTGCTTTCATTATATTCTGTGTGGTGAAATTCAGTAGCTTCGTGCAATTTTGTTGTGGATTAGAATTTGGATGTTAGGTTGAACTTGGATAAAATCTAGTTTTAGGGTTCTGTTTTATACTGATTTAACAGAGTTAATTGTGTGTTGATTTTAATATCAGTGTGTAAGCTGCTTACTGCTCGATGCAATTTCGATTGTAGGTCCTGAAATGGGAGGATGTCGAAATCGGAGAGCCGAAGGATGGAGAGATCAGAGTGAAAAATAAGGCGATTGGCTTGAACTTCATTGATGTTTATTTTCGGAAAGGGGTTTACAAGGCTTCGACTATGCCCTTCACACCAGGTCCGATTCCCGTTTCGTTTCTTGTATTGACACCTCCCTGTATAAGAACGTAGCTCTAATTCTTATTGTTCGATTATTTTACTTATAAAAATTCGCCGAGCACCTTACATCTCATGCCATCGGTGCCCTTCACCTGTTTGATCTTATTACTACTTGACAAGAAGAAAGTAATTGTCGCAGAACCGCTTACATATCGTCTTTCTACGAAGAATTTATATCTTTGTCATCAGTATATTTCTGGTTCATCTTCATATTGGCACACACACATACACGAACACGCACACACGTCTTCATCACAAATCTTACTCTCAACAGTTTTGTTATGACAGGTATGGAGGCTGTAGGTGTGGTAACTGCTGTAGGTCCTGGACTTACTGGACGAAAAGTTGGAGATCTCGTTGCTTATGCTGGTACACCGATGGGTGCATATGCAGAGGAGCAAATCCTTCCCGCCGAAAAAGTTATTCCTGTACCTCCTTCTATCGATCCCGTTATAGCAGCATCCATCATACTCAAGGGAATGACTGCTCAGTTTCTAGTTCGACAATGCTTCAAAGTACGTCGAAACAACAAATTTGAAAACATTCAATTGCTTCATCTTCGTCTTAATCGTATCGTTGATAATGATAAATATATGGTACAGGTTGAACCAGGACACACTGTTCTTATCCATGCAGCAGCTGGTGGAGTAGGGTCTTTACTTTGCCAATGGGCAAATGCACTTGGTGCCACCGTTATCGGAACTGTCTCAACAAACGAGAAGGCAGCTCAAGCCAAAGAAGACGGGTGTCACCATGTTATACTGTACAAGGAGGAAGATTTCGTTACACGCGTAAATGAAATAACATCTGGTAACGGAGTCGAAGTTGTCTATGATTCTGTCGGAAAGGACACTTTTGAGGTAATGGTATACACGATGGGTTTCATGTGGTGATTTCTTGATTGTAGACTCGCATT